GGTAGCTGTCTCCAGTTTCTCCCAACCCACGACTTCCCTAGGTGGCCAGTGTCCTTTGATCTTGTGTTCCCTTGACTCGAGGGACTTGACCTTGGCTTGGTCTTCCAGGACAGCTCAAGCTGCACTCCAAGTCTCTCTCTTCATGGCAGCCAGCTACGCAGAGAACCCCTGCCTCAGACAACACAACGACCAAACAAAGAAGCAGGCACCAAAGACACCTCCTGAAGAAAGCAGCTTGGAACAGCCTTGCAGGCATGGGCCTTGGCTTCCCGGCCTTGGACAAGCAGAACTCTGTCAAGTCCACTTTGCTCACCAACAGAAAACTCTAGTTCATCATGTCTTCCTTTCCAAAGTGCTCTTTGTCAAACCAATGCTTGTAATCCCCACTTAACATATACATTAATAAAGATGATAATACAAAGTAGCCAAGGGTTGGACCATGTGTTCATTTGACCTTGGAAATTGATTGAGAGAGGGAGGGAGCTAGGGATTAGCGGTAAAGGAGAGTGAGGGTGGTGGGAAGGAGTGAGCACAAGCATATTTCTGGCCAATGTGAATATGCAAATCTGTTGACTATCAAGTGCGTTTAAAATGGAGGGTCTCAGATTCTCTAGGCCCCACACAGGTTAAATCAATATCAAATATATCCCAATAAATACTCAACATGGTAAAAAAAAAAAAAAAAAAAAAAAAAAAAAAAAGTCAGTTGTGTGAAATTGCATCTGTTTACCCATATCAGAATAATAGGTATTTTAAAAAATGAAAAAGAATTAAAAGAAACAAGCAAAGAAATGCATACACACATACACATTCACACACCAATGGACACGGTGGAGTTGGATGTGAGATGGCAGTATTTTTTAAAAATATAAAGGGACTCTCTGGTTTCACAGCACCCACCAGAGAATCCTTAACCACCCCTGTCTACATTATGATGGCTGGCTGGTTCTGAGGGCACATACATTCATCCAGCACTCCTGAGGCAGAGGCAGACAGATATCTGTGACTTTCATTCTAGCCTGCCTACATAACTAGTTCCAGGACAGGCTCCAAAGCAACAGAGAGAAACCCTGTCTTGACATACGAAAAGAAAATAAGTTAAATAATTATTTATTAAAAGGCAAGGAAAACAAAACAAATAAACAAACAACAGAATTAGGATATGCATCCTCTTTTGCCAGGCCCTTGCTTGTGTGGTCTGAATTGTCCATAAACTAATAAATATAAATAAACTTGCACACACCAAACAAAGAGCAAATAGCTAAAAGTTTCACAGAATGGATGAAAAAACAAAACAAAATAAAACAAAACAAAACAAAACAAAAAACAACAACAAAACTCCCCCCAAAAAAAAAAAAAAAAAAAAACAAATTAAAGGAAAAAAAAAAAAAAAAAAAAAAACAACCCAAGAAACAATCAAACAAAAATACCCATGAGGGAATCAAGAACTTTTCTGTTAGAGATGTTTGTTGTCTATTCTTGGTTGTCTACTTGACTCCTACCGGAATTAACTACAAGCCCTGAGGTCGGGGGCACCTGTGTGGCATGTTTGTTGATTCAATTATTGGAAGTGGGAAGCCCCACCTTAAGTCCATTTCTTTGGAGGCAGAAAGGTCAGGAAGAGAGCAGGAGGGGGAGGAAGGTGTTGGTATGATCCAGCCAAGCTTTTAGCACGTGGAGACTCAAGGGTCTTGCCCTCATTGGCCACACCCTGACTGGGCGGAGCTTCCTCTGAAGCAAGGCCCATAAAAGGAATTGAGGTCCTTGCCCCGACACTCCTGACAAGCTAGTCTTTCTGATCGCATGTGCCCTGTGCCAGAGAGTCCCCAGCGTCTCTTGCAGAAGCCAGACAACAGCTTGCCTTGACCTAGGCCCTGCAGAGCACAAGTCCATCTGCTGCATCGCACTGTGTGAACTCCCAACCAGCAAGTGCCAGGCCCACACCACCGCCAGCATGCGGGGAGCACGACCCCGAAGCCCAGGGGACTATCTGCTGCAAGATGGACTCAACCCCGCCAAGCGCCCCTGCCTCCGTGAGCCTGGCAGCCCGGAAAGGCTGGCACAGCCAGACGTGGAAGCCCCCAGCGGACCCGCCTGGGAAGAGCCCAACTCCAACTCCGTGGTGGTGGTGCCCACTGGCTGTGCTCTGAAACTCCACCTGGAAGCCATCGACCTGCTCCTGGAACCCAACCCCACCTCGATCAGCCAAGTATCCCTTTCTGGATGCACCATCACCCTGGTTCCAGAGGACCTGCTGGAGCCCGCCCAGCCTGGACAGCTTTGGGTCTTTCCCTGCAGCCCACAGGAGGCGGCTGTGCTGGACATTCCCCCAGAATGCCTAGTCCTCCTGCAGCACGGTTCCGCCAGTGCTCCTGGATCACACATCCAAGGGGCGGGAAACTTCTCTCAGCCAGGTGAGGTCTCTCAGGAAGACTCCATGATGTTATGGGTGCATGCTCCGTCTGACACGGATCCAGGGCTCTTTGACCCCTTCACTGTGATGCTCAGCCCCTTGTTGGACAGCCAAGTACCTTGGCCCTGGACGCCATCCCCTCCTCCGAGTGCAGGGAGGGATGATCCCTGGTGCAACTGGACCCTCAGCGAGAGCATGCTGGAGCCTCTGCCCAGCTCCCCACTGCAGCCTCTCCCCCCATCTCCTGCAACAAGTCCTCAAGGCCAGTGCCCGCTGAGTCATCAGAAGCCTCCACGCTCTCCCTGCAAGGCCAGGAAGCGCCTCTTCTAGGAAAGGAAGAGAAGGCCTGTTTTCCCTACATGCAGCACCTTGGACACCGACTTCGCTGAATGCCTCTTGGCCCTGATTTCCCGTGTGGCTCCAGACAACCGGGAACCGAACTTGGACGCTGTGTGCACACCACTGCTTTTGGCCAAGGCATCGTGGATGGGAGAAGAGAAAAGCTTCAAGGAGAGTGGGGACACTGGATCTCACACCTGAAGCTAAAATGCTGCCTTCGAGAACGAGAGGACGGATTTTCCAATGCGGGGCCCTAGCTGTATCGCTGCTTCCCAGGAAGAACAGGATCGGTAGCTGTCTCCAGTTTCTCCCAACCCACGACTTCCCTAGGTGGCCAGTGTCCTTTGATCTTGTGTTCCCTTGACTCGAGGGACTTGACCTTGGCTTGGTCTTCCAGGACAGCTCAAGCTGCACTCCAAGTCTCTCTCTTCATGGCAGCCAGCTACGCAGAGAACCCCTGCCTCAGACAACACAACGACCAAACAAAGAAGCAGGCACCAAAGACACCTCCTGAAGAAAGCAGCTTGGAACAGCCTTGCAGGCATGGGCCTTGGCTTCCCGGCCTTGGACAAGCAGAACTCTGTCAAGTCCACTTTGCTCACCAACAGAGAACTCTAGTTCATCATGTCTTCCTTTCCAAAGTGCTCTTTGTCAAACCAATGCTTGTAATCCCCACTTAACATATACATTAATAAAGATGATAATACAAAGTAGCCAAGGGTTGGACCATGTGTTCATTTGACCTTGGAAATTGATTGAGAGAGGGAGGGAGCTAGGGATTAGCGGTAAAGGAGAGTGAGGGTGGTGGGAAGGAGTGAGCACAAGCATATTTCTGGCCAATGTGAATATGCAAATCTGTTGACTATCAAGTGCGTTTAAAATGGAGGGTCTCAGATTCTCTAGGCCCCACACAGGTTAAATCAATATCAAATATATCCCAATAAATACTCAACATGGTAAAAAAAAAAAAAAAAAAAAAAAAAAAAAAAAGTCAGTTGTGTGAAATTGCATCTGTTTACCCATATCAGAATAATAGGTATTTTAAAAAATGAAAAAGAATTAAAAGAAACAAGCAAAGAAATGCATACACACATACACATTCACACACCAATGGACACGGTGGAGTTGGATGTGAGATGGCAGTATTTTTTAAAAATATAAAGGGACTCTCTGGTTTCACAGCACCCACCAGAGAATCCTTAACCACCCCTGTCTACATTATGATGGCTGGCTGGTTCTGAGGGCACATACATTCATCCAGCACTCCTGAGGCAGAGGCAGACAGATATCTGTGACTTTCATTCTAGCCTGCCTACATAACTAGTTCCAGGACAGGCTCCAAAGCAACAGAGAGAAACCCTGTCTTGACATACGAAAAGAAAATAAGTTAAATAATTATTTATTAAAAGGCAAGGAAAACAAAACAAATAAACAAACAACAGAATTAGGATATGCATCCTCTTTTGCCAGGCCCTTGCTTGTGTGGTCTGAATTGTCCATAAACTAATAAATATAAATAAACTTGCACACACCAAACAAAGAGCAAATAGCTAAAAGTTTCACAGAATGGATGAAAAAACAAAACAAAATAAAACAAAACAAAACAAAACAAAAAACAACAACAAAACTCCCCCCCAAAAAAAAAAAAAAAAAAAAAAACAAATTAAAGGAAAAAAAAAAAAAAAAAAAAAAAAAACACCCAAGAAACAATCAAACAAAAATACCCATGAGGGAATCAAGAACTTTTCTGTTAGAGATGTTTGTTGTCTATTCTTGGTTGTCTACTTGACTCCTACCGGAATTAACTACAAGCCCTGAGGTCGGGGGCACCTGTGTGGCATGTTTGTTGATTCAATTATTGGAAGTGGGAAGCCCCACCTTAAGTCCATTTCTTTGGAGGCAGAAAGGTCAGGAAGAGAGCAGGAGGGGGAGGAAGGTGTTGGTATGATCCAGCCAAGCTTTTAGCACGTGGAGACTCAAGGGTCTTGCCCTCATTGGCCACACCCTGACTGGGCGGAGCTTCCTCTGAAGCAAGGCCCATAAAAGGAATTGAGGTCCTTGCCCCGACACTCCTGACAAGCTAGTCTTTCTGATCGCATGTGCCCTGTGCCAGAGAGTCCCCAGCGTCTCTTGCAGAAGCCAGACAACAGCTTGCCTTGACCTAGGCCCTGCAGAGCACAAGTCCATCTGCTGCATCGCACTGTGTGAACTCCCAACCAGCAAGTGCCAGGCCCACACCACCGCCAGCATGCGGGGAGCACGACCCCGAAGCCCAGGGGACTATCTGCTGCAAGATGGACTCAACCCCGCCAAGCGCCCCTGCCTCCGTGAGCCTGGCAGCCCGGAAAGGCTGGCACAGCCAGACGTGGAAGCCCCCAGCGGACCCGCCTGGGAAGAGCCCAACTCCAACTCCGTGGTGGTGGTGCCCACTGGCTGTGCTCTGAAACTCCACCTGGAAGCCATCGACCTGCTCCTGGAACCCAACCCCACCTCGATCAGCCAAGTATCCCTTTCTGGATGCACCATCACCCTGGTTCCAGAGGACCTGCTGGAGCCCGCCCAGCCTGGACAGCTTTGGGTCTTTCCCTGCAGCCCACAGGAGGCGGCTGTGCTGGACATTCCCCCAGAATGCCTAGTCCTCCTGCAGCACGGTTCCGCCAGTGCTCCTGGATCACACATCCAAGGGGCGGGAAACTTCTCTCAGCCAGGTGAGGTCTCTCAGGAAGACTCCATGATGTTATGGGTGCATGCTCCGTCTGACACGGATCCAGGGCTCTTTGACCCCTTCACTGTGATGCTCAGCCCCTTGTTGGACAGCCAAGTACCTTGGCCCTGGACGCCATCCCCTCCTCCGAGTGCAGGGAGGGATGATCCCTGGTGCAACTGGACCCTCAGCGAGAGCATGCTGGAGCCTCTGCCCAGCTCCCCACTGCAGCCTCTCCCCCCATCTCCTGCAACAAGTCCTCAAGGCCAGTGCCCGCTGAGTCATCAGAAGCCTCCACGCTCTCCCTGCAAGGCCAGGAAGCGCCTCTTCTAGGAAAGGAAGAGAAGGCCTGTTTTCCCTACATGCAGCACCTTGGACACCGACTTCGCTGAATGCCTCTTGGCCCTGATTTCCCGTGTGGCTCCAGACAACCGGGAACCGAACTTGGACGCTGTGTGCACACCACTGCTTTTGGCCAAGGCATCGTGGATGGGAGAAGAGAAAAGCTTCAAGGAGAGTGGGGACACTGGATCTCACACCTGAAGCTAAAATGCTGCCTTCGAGAACGAGAGGACGGATTTTCCAATGCGGGGCCCTAGCTGTATCGCTGCTTCCCAGGAAGAACAGGATCGGTAGCTGTCTCCAGTTTCTCCCAACCCACGACTTCCCTAGGTGGCCAGTGTCCTTTGATCTTGTGTTCCCTTGACTCGAGGGACTTGACCTTGGCTTGGTCTTCCAGGACAGCTCAAGCTGCACTCCAAGTCTCTCTCTTCATGGCAGCCAGCTACGCAGAGAACCCCTGCCTCAGACAACACAACGACCAAACAAAGAAGCAGGCACCAAAGACACCTCCTGAAGAAAGCAGCTTGGAACAGCCTTGCAGGCATGGGCCTTGGCTTCCCGGCCTTGGACAAGCAGAACTCTGTCAAGTCCACTTTGCTCACCAACAGAGAACTCTAGTTCATCATGTCTTCCTTTCCAAAGTGCTCTTTGTCAAACCAATGCTTGTAATCCCCACTTAACATATACATTAATAAAGATGATAATACAAAGTAGCCAAGGGTTGGACCATGTGTTCATTTGACCTTGGAAATTGATTGAGAGAGGGAGGGAGCTAGGGATTAGCGGTAAAGGAGAGTGAGGGTGGTGGGAAGGAGTGAGCACAAGCATATTTCTGGCCAATGTGAATATGCAAATCTGTTGACTATCAAGTGCGTTTAAAATGGAGGGTCTCAGATTCTCTAGGCCCCACACAGGTTAAATCAATATCAAATATATCCCAATAAATACTCAACATGGTAAAAAAAAAAAAAAAAAAAAAAAAAAAAAAAGTCAGTTGTGTGAAATTGCATCTGTTTACCCATATCAGAATAATAGGTATTTTAAAAAATGAAAAAGAATTAAAAGAAACAAGCAAAGAAATGCATACACACATACACATTCACACACCAATGGACACGGTGGAGTTGGATGTGAGATGGCAGTATTTTTAAAAAATATAAAGGGACTCTCTGGTTTCACAGCACCCACCAGAGAATCCTTAACCACCCCTGTCTACATTATGATGGCTGGCTGGTTCTGAGGGCACATACATTCATCCAGCACTCCTGAGGCAGAGGCAGACAGATATCTGTGACTTTCATTCTAGCCTGCCTACATAACTAGTTCCAGGACAGGCTCCAAAGCAACAGAGAGAAACCCTGTCTTGACATACGAAAAGAAAATAAGTTAAATAATTATTTATTAAAAGGCAAGGAAAACAAAACAAATAAACAAACAACAGAATTAGGATATGCATCCTCTTTTGCCAGGCCCTTGCTTGTGTGGTCTGAATTGTCCATAAACTAATAAATATAAATAAACTTGCACACACCAAACAAAGAGCAAATAGCTAAAAGTTTCACAGAATGGATGAAAAAACAAAACAAAATAAAACAAAACAAAACAAAACAAAAAACAACAACAAAACTCCCCCCAAAAAAAAAAAAAAAAAAAAAACAAATTAAAGGAAAAAAAAAAAAAAAAAAAAAAAAAAAACACCCAAGAAACAATCAAACAAAAATACCCATGAGGGAATCAAGAACTTTTCTGTTAGAGATGTTTGTTGTCTATTCTTGGTTGTCTACTTGACTCCTACCGGAATTAACTACAAGCCCTGAGGTCGGGGCACCTGTGTGGCATGTTTGTTGATTCAATTATTGGAAGTGGGAAGCCCCACCTTAAGTCCATTTCTTTGGAGGCAGAAAGGTCAGGAAGAGAGCAGGAGGGGGAGGAAGGTGTTGGTATGATCCAGCCAAGCTTTTAGCACGTGGAGACTCAAGGGTCTTGCCCTCATTGGCCACACCCTGACTGGGCGGAGCTTCCTCTGAAGCAAGGCCCATAAAAGGAATTGAGGTCCTTGCCCCGACACTCCTGACAAGCTAGTCTTTCTGATCGCATGTGCCCTGTGCCAGAGAGTCCCCAGCGTCTCTTGCAGAAGCCAGACAACAGCTTGCCTTGACCTAGGCCCTGCAGAGCACAAGTCCATCTGCTGCATCGCACTGTGTGAACTCCCAACCAGCAAGTGCCAGGCCCACACCACCGCCAGCATGCGGGGAGCACGACCCCGAAGCCCAGGGGACTATCTGCTGCAAGATGGACTCAACCCCGCCAAGCGCCCCTGCCTCCGTGAGCCTGGCAGCCCGGAAAGGCTGGCACAGCCAGACGTGGAAGCCCCCAGCGGACCCGCCTGGGAAGAGCCCAACTCCAACTCCGTGGTGGTGGTGCCCACTGGCTGTGCTCTGAAACTCCACCTGGAAGCCATCGACCTGCTCCTGGAACCCAACCCCACCTCGATCAGCCAAGTATCCCTTTCTGGATGCACCATCACCCTGGTTCCAGAGGACCTGCTGGAGCCCGCCCAGCCTGGACAGCTTTGGGTCTTTCCCTGCAGCCCACAGGAGGCGGCTGTGCTGGACATTCCCCCAGAATGCCTAGTCCTCCTGCAGCACGGTTCCGCCAGTGCTCCTGGATCACACATCCAAGGGGCGGGAAACTTCTCTCAGCCAGGTGAGGTCTCTCAGGAAGACTCCATGATGTTATGGGTGCATGCTCCGTCTGACACGGATCCAGGGCTCTTTGACCCCTTCACTGTGATGCTCAGCCCCTTGTTGGACAGCCAAGTACCTTGGCCCTGGACGCCATCCCCTCCTCCGAGTGCAGGGAGGGATGATCCCTGGTGCAACTGGACCCTCAGCGAGAGCATGCTGGAGCCTCTGCCCAGCTCCCCACTGCAGCCTCTCCCCCCATCTCCTGCAACAAGTCCTCAAGGCCAGTGCCCGCTGAGTCATCAGAAGCCTCCACGCTCTCCCTGCAAGGCCAGGAAGCGCCTCTTCTAGGAAAGGAAGAGAAGGCCTGTTTTCCCTACATGCAGCACCTTGGACACCGACTTCGCTGAATGCCTCTTGGCCCTGATTTCCCGTGTGGCTCCAGACAACCGGGAACCGAACTTGGACGCTGTGTGCACACCACTGCTTTTGGCCAAGGCATCGTGGATGGGAGAAGAGAAAAGCTTCAAGGAGAGTGGGGACACTGGATCTCACACCTGAAGCTAAAATGCTGCCTTCGAGAACGAGAGGACGGATTTTCCAATGCGGGGCCCTAGCTGTATCGCTGCTTCCCAGGAAGAACAGGATCGGTAGCTGTCTCCAGTTTCTCCCAACCCACGACTTCCCTAGGTGGCCAGTGTCCTTTGATCTTGTGTTCCCTTGACTCGAGGGACTTGACCTTGGCTTGGTCTTCCAGGACAGCTCAAGCTGCACTCCAAGTCTCTCTCTTCATGGCAGCCAGCTACGCAGAGAACCCCTGCCTCAGACAACACAACGACCAAACAAAGAAGCAGGCACCAAAGACACCTCCTGAAGAAAGCAGCTTGGAACAGCCTTGCAGGCATGGGCCTTGGCTTCCCGGCCTTGGACAAGCAGAACTCTGTCAAGTCCACTTTGCTCACCAACAGAGAACTCTAGTTCATCATGTCTTCCTTTCCAAAGTGCTCTTTGTCAAACCAATGCTTGTAATCCCCACTTAACATATACATTAATAAAGATGATAATACAAAGTAGCCAAGGGTTGGACCATGTGTTCATTTGACCTTGGAAATTGATTGAGAGAGGGAGGGAGCTAGGGATTAGCGGTAAAGGAGAGTGAGGGTGGTGGGAAGGAGTGAGCACAAGCATATTTCTGGCCAATGTGAATATGCAAATCTGTTGACTATCAAGTGCGTTTAAAATGGAGGGTCTCAGATTCTCTAGGCCCCACACAGGTTAAATCAATATCAAATATATCCCAATAAATACTCAACATGGTAAAAAAAAAAAAAAAAAAAAAAAAAAAAAAAAAAGTCAGTTGTGTGAAATTGCATCTGTTTACCCATATCAGAATAATAGGTATTTTAAAAAATGAAAAAGAATTAAAAGAATCAAGCAAAGAAATGCATACACACATACACATTCACACACCAATGGACACGGTGGAGTTGGATGTGAGATGGCAGTATTTTTTAAAATATAAAGGGACTCTCTGGTTTCACAGCACCCACCAGAGAATCCTTAACCACCCCTGTCTACATTATGATGGCTGGCTGGTTCTGAGGGCACATACATTCATCCAGCACTCCTGAGGCAGAGGCAGACAGATATCTGTGACTTTCATTCTAGCCTGCCTACATAACTAGTTCCAGAACAGGCTCCAAAGCAACAGAGAGAAACCCTGTCTTGACATACGAAAAGAAAATAAGTTAAATAATTATTTATTAAAAGGCAAGGAAAACAAAACAAATAAACAAACAACAGAATTAGGATATGCATCCTCTTTTGCCAGGCCCTTGCTTGTGTGGTCTGAATTGTCCATAAACTAATAAATATAAATAAACTTGCACACACCAAACAAAGAGCAAATAGTTAAAAGTTTCACAGAATGGATGAAAAAACAAAACAAAATAAAACAAAACAAAAAAAAAAACAACAAAACTCCCCCCTAAAAAAAAAAAAAAAAAAAAAAAAAAAACCCAAGAAACAATCAAACAAAAATATCCATGAGGGAATCAAGAACTTTTCTGTTAGAGATGTTTGTTGTCTATTCTTGGTTGTCTACTTGACACCTACTGGTATTAACTACAAGCCCTGAGGTCGGGGGCACCTGTGTGGCCTGTTTGTTGATTCAATTATTGGAAGTGGGAAGCCCCACCGTAAGTCCATTTCTTTGGAGGCAGAAAGGTCTGGAAGAGAGCACGAGGGGGAGGAAGGTTTCTGTATGAATACATCCATGTTTTTGAGATGTGGACACAGTCATTAGAA